ACTGGTACAGACAGCTATGAGGAAGGACTTCAGCTGTAGCCGGGGCTATTGATTTCATACTGGGCCCAACTGTAGGTCTAGTTTGTGACCAACATTAAGAATTCAGTTTGCAATTAAAGAACATAATTGGTCCATATGGCTTCAAACACTTCGTCTTACTTCACATTCATTCAATCATCAAATATTTATTGAGCCATTGTGCTGGGCACTGTGCTAGCTACTAAGGATTCAGCAGTGAGTGAGACAGACATGGGAAGGTGGCGACATGTTTAAGCAGGCGGGTGACATGATCAGATTTGCATTTTAAAATGATCAGTCTGGGTGCAGAGTAAACAGATTGGAAGGGAGCCAAGTGGCTGTGTGCAGAAGCTCTTGCCGTCAACCAGGTGAGAAGTGGTGGTGTGGGTCAGCGTGGTGGCAGAGAGGAGCGGAGGAATTCAAGAGCTACAGAGGTGAAATCAACAGGACTTGATAATAGATTGGACATGGGAAAATGTGAAAGAGGGGACTGCCAAGGATAACTGCTACATTTCAGACTCAGGCAACTGAATGAATGGGGCTACTGCAGAGATAGAGAGGCCTGGAAGAGGACCGTATTTGGAAAGAATGTCATATGTTTGGTCCAAGTGGAGCTGTCAAGTATGCAGTTAGATAAGCTGTCTGAAACTTAGAGAGAGATCTGAGCTAGAGATATAAATTTGGGAGCCATCAGGATAGGTGATGTGAATTGATCACTTGGGTAAAGATTGTAGAATGTCGGAAAAAAAAAAAAAAAAAAAAAACTTAGACTTTGAAGAATTCTATCATTTACTGGCTTGCTCTTCCAAGGTCCCTACTATTAGGCAATGCTAACCCTTCTCATTCCTAATCACTGTCATTTTTTAAATCTCATTCATTAAAGACTTTTGGTAAAACAGTTCATGGTTTTCTCCTCTTCCAGAAACCCTACCATTCTCTTGGATGACTTCTGCAATCAGGCAGACATCCCTTTCAATGGCATGTTCTCTCTATTCTTTGACTTCCTCATCTTTACCTTCTGCACTCCTCCTCAAGCTACACCCTGGCACAGTCACACCTTGGGCCTTGACATTGCTTTCAGCTCTGCCACTTTAAAAATCACTCTTTCAAGCCTCCCCACTCTGCTACCTTCTCATTTTCCAGTTTTCTTGTGTGACTATTCCGATGAGGCCTG